ATCAGTGCCCTTACTCAGTTACCGACGCCCAAACGCAGCACGCCCGCCCCGCCCCACCCCGCCCCGCCCACTCCCATGGGTCCTAAACGCGCTTCATTATTACGGCGTTTTGTGGACTTATAAACATAACAAAAGCTTCCGGCCGGGCGCGCTGGTCCCGGGTCCGGCCGTGCACGTGGACTATGTGGACACGCCGGCTCGCCGCCCACACGACGGTGACCGCGGGAACCCACACCTCGACGGGAGGATCATACCTTTCGGGCATATATCACCTTTTATTTACTTCTTTTTATATACTTTTTACTTTTTTATAAATCTCTTTTATATCCATGTGTGTGTGGCCATGTTTTTTTAGGTGTCTACTTAAAGCGACTCGTTAACGTCGCACACGTCCCTCCGTTTCGCTATTGATCAATGAAGAGGTGGTGGATGGCGCTCGAAGAGACAGATGGGGGTGGGGAGGAGGGGGGGAGGAAGGAGAAAGGATGGGGCGGTGAGGAAGAGGAAGAAGAGGAACACGATGATGGGAATAAAATGTCGCGCCGCTACGCCCTGCCATGCATGCGTACTCTCGGGGAGCGGCGGGGAGTAGCGGGGCGGGGCGCCACACGGTTATTTTTACGCGCGGAACTCGGCAAAGCGACGCGACGCGGCGGCGTACCGGGGCTGCACGGCGGCGGTGCACACCGCGCCGCGACGCGAACATGCGGCGGAAAATCAAAAGGGATTCCGTCACCCGCGAGACTGAAACTTAATTTCACTTTTCACAAATAAATGGAGTTCGCCCGCGTTCCTTTGGTATAGTGACTCTCGTCGCTCTAAATTATGCTCGCCACTCCGAGGCGATTGTTGTCCCATCATGGAGTACCCCTCGCGCATAAGTCGACTAAAGTCCACTACTAAAGTATCTCCCCCACCCTGCGCGTGGGTTGACGCCGTCAATGTCGATCCGAACGAGGGACGGCATGGAGGACGGGACCGCCACGATTCATCAGGACGGTAACGCCCTGCCCCGCCGCGCCGCGCCCCGCCCCTAACTGCAGCGCGCGGTGGCATCCCCGCTGCCATGTTTTGTAAACCAAGTGACACATTACCCGCGCCGGCCTGGGCGGCGTGCCAACCCCAACCCGAGCCCGCCGCCGGGCCCAGGTCCTAGTCCTGGGCAGGACACGGGGCTGTTCGAGTCCTCGCGGGCGGCGTGGGCCCCTTGTCCTGGTTCAGATCCTGGTCTTGGTCCTGGTCCCGGTCCTGGTCCGCTCCCAGTCCTTTGGCCCTGGTCCTCGGCGGTCGCGTCCACGTGCGCGCCCGCCGACAAAAGGTCCTGTGCCTCTCGAGGCGCCAAAAGGACGGGCCAGCCGAAAGGAGCAGGTTCAGTCACCCTGCGCCGCGCTGCGGTGTAACAATCGCTGTCATTTCTCCGGCGCCTCTCACAATGGCGTCCCGATCAGCCGCCTGGACCATGAGCCCGGCACACAGCGGACAATTTTATTTTCTAAGGAGAGCGAGAGAGAGAGAGAGAAAGGGGGAGGGGGCCACCGACACGTTTCCACAGTGCGCCCCCACAAATAACTCATTGAACCTGCTTAGCGCGATGCTAGCCAGCCCTCGGGTAATTATACGGGCCCTGCCGGCCCTGCCCCCCCCGAGCGGGACGAGGAGGCCCCGCGCCCGTGGCCCCGCTACACGCCCTCAGGAGGTCCGGGGGGGCCCCAAAGAGGGACCCGAAGGGGGCCCCCAAAGGGCCGCGCCTCTGGCCCTTCCCTTGCTGCTCTCCGGTCCGGCCGGGGGCCTCACTATTTATTGGTGTTTAAATCAGGCCGGGCCAGAACAGTACACGCACCGGTACTGAGGGCCGCGCCGAGGGGCGCGCGGGCCGGCCTAGGGGGGCCCCACCCCGCCCCGCCATGCCCCAGACCGTCTCACCGGTCGACTCCGAAGGGCCCGCGTGCGTGCATGCAGTTTCAGCCCCGTCGAGGCCCCGCGGCCGCCGGCGCTGGCTCGACGCCATCTAGGCCCTCCTCGCGGGGGCCGCGGCGGCGCGGCAGACGCACCGGAAGGGCCGCGCGGATAGGCGACAGAAGTGTCTGGGGCCCGAGAGGAGCGGGGTGGGGGGCTCCCGGGGGGCTCCCGTGAGGCGGGTCAGGGGCGCGTTCAACGAGGCTGTACTTATTAACCCGCCGCGCGTTCAAGTTGCCAAACCGCTGCAAAAAACCGACGGGGGAAAACAAAGTCCAACGAATGTGTTTTGTTTCGGATAGTAAACTAATAGAGAGCCGGGCAGTATCCCATTTTGAGGTGTGACAAAAGTCGGGAGCGTTAGAGGAATGTTTAGCGCCCGGAAAGAAATATTTTTCTCCGCGCAAAAGTGAGGTAATTTGACATTACTAATCTCAGTGCAGGGGAGTCACTCGCGTATCAGAGCCCCGAGCTCGCATCTTGGGCACTGTCAAATGTATATTTCTGTATCGCAAGCAAGCGATAGTAAGCCAAGGGGTCTGAAACTGTCCCTGCGAACAATGAACTCACACTATGCTCCCCAACCCCTTCCCCTATACATAGCTTATTTGATAACAGCGAAAGTCCGCCCAGTATGGAAAGGGACTCTTGGGAGAACCGGGCCTAGGGCACAGGCCGGGCGACGGGGCCTTTGTGTCCGGCGGAACAATGCAAAGAGCGAGAGAGAGAGAGAGAG